GCAAACTGGCCCAATCAAAAAAGATTTTCAGGTGGGGTTGTATATATGTGTGAGTGCCTCCTGAAGCTTAACATCAATAGGAGACGAGAATTTGCACATCAACTCTGCACTGCTAATCTTTGTATTTACATTTGAGCATAATTAGCACACTTTATATATGAGTAATGTTTTATTGGCACTACTGTACTTGCCTGCGGTACCACACAAACAAAACACTGGCGCAAACTTACCAATAAGTAACTTAACTTGAATTCTTCTCCAGAACAAAGAATTTTGTTTAAAAAATAGCAAGTACAAGATGTGAGTAGTTTTCTTCTGTTTTAGCACATGCTTAACTGCTTTGTGTCTTTTAATATTCCTCTCAGCGATTCCCCTGGTTTGGTTAAAATATTAGCAATAAAGATATGCACTGCATAGCCTGGAAAAAAGTTTGAAAAAGGCACTGACTCACAAGCCAAAAAAGCAACAGTCCCAGTCACGGTGCTCAGAACAACTGATACCAGCCAATGTTTGTTTCATGCTTGAAACCAAACAGCAAAACACTCCAGACTCAAAATACATCCTCTTTCCTCTTCCAAACAACCCAAACCAGTCTTCTGGGGTGAGAATATATCAGATTTAAATGATTTGCTCATTGCTACTTTCCAAATTCTCTTTTTAGAATTCTCCACTGTATTCATGAATGCAGGTTTCAGTTTGCTCAGCTTTGCAAAGCCAGGCGAAATCTATATAGTATCCTTCATCCAAAGAAATCTTGGGAGTATTTGCAAATTCCAAAAATTAAAATTACTACATTCTCCAAATTTTCCTGGCATTGGTAGAAAGTAGAGTGTTTTGTTTTATTTTTTTTCTCCAGTGATTCAACTATTTCACAAGAAAGAAATAGAAGCTCTTGTTTGGGAACACTGAAGGCTGAAATGTTTGCTCCCTTTGTAGAAGCCCCTACTCACAGACAGTTGCATTTACAGGAGGTATTTCTCTTTTAAGCCGTGTCAGGGTTTTTTAACACTCCCACATTTTCTTTGGCAGACTATGAAGTACTAATTTATTGTATACCCGAGGCAGTATTTTCCTGAAGCTTCCAATATAGAAATTCCAATCTGTCTCCTAATGAGTTCTACACTTTGTAAAAAAAAAAACATACCTGAACTTCTGGTATTTTCATTGCCCAAACATGTTCTGACAATGCATAGTAGTTTAGATCTTCCTTCAGAGTTTCCAAAGAGTAATGGCTTTGTATCATGAGAGCACAATGTTGCCTTTTAGACCTTCCACCATATGGAAGCCATTTATCCATGTAACTAGGAGAATATTTCACTCAACCACAGCATTCATTGGCTGATCATGAAACAGCTCCCTGATGGAATCAGTACCCTGTAGTCCATTTACTTTCTACCATCAATATGGATGTGACTTTTAGCAAGTAGGCTTGTACAAAGAGTCCCTCCTCAAAACACTGAGCCTACAGTAGCCTCTGGAAGATTTGTATGACTGCTTTCAGGGCTTTGTTACATTGTCTGCAAGGGTGTGCATGAATGAATAGTGATCTGCTCAACTTTCAACAGATGCGTGGAGAATTTCATTGCAATATGAGGAGCAGTCCTTTCACAAACCTGGTTAGCCTCTAGAATAGGGAGACTACAAGTATATTCAAGGCACAATGACTCAGCAGTTAAAGCTTGTTAGCTGGAAGCTTGATAGCCCTGAGTGCCACACAATGGAGTGAGCTTCTGTTCCTGCCCCGGCTCCTGCTCACCTTGCAGTTCAAAAGCATGCAGATGCAAGTAGATAAATGGGTACCACTTTGGTGGGTAGGTAACAGTATTCCATGCCCCTTAGTGTATTGTCATGCTGGCCACATGACCACAGAAAGGTCTTTGGATAATGCTGGCTCGTTCAGCTAAGAAACAGATGAGCATCTCCCCCTAGCATCTCCCCCTCCCAGATGAGCATCTCCTGCCAGTTGGACACAACTGGCAGGAGAAACCTTTACCTTTACTTTTACAAGTATATTAAACAACATAGTGCCCTTGTGGGGCCTTCTTAACTACAAATTCTGGAAGATTCTCAGTAACCCAGGAAGTGAAGAAACAAAAGGATGTTTGAACTACTTCTGGTGGAAAGCAAAAGAAAAGAAAACCCGAATATAACCAAGTACAGGCCTAGTCTTTGGCAATCAGGACAATGAAACACCAGTGTTTCTCCATTCATGTGGCATCAACAGAGTGCCATCCAGAAACCTTGTGGAAGGTGACCCTCATTCTATTGAGGTAGGCAGGTTGAGGGACTTTCTTTTGAACAAATAGTTTAATGAGCCTTGGTGGCGCAGTGGTTAGAGTGCAGTACTGCAGGCTACTTCTGCTGCCTGCTGTTTGGGCAGTTCAAATCTCACCAAGCTCAAGGCTGACTCAGCCTTCCATCTGTCCAAGGTGGGTAAAATGAGGAGCCAAAATTGTTGGGGGAAATATGCTAACTATGTAAACCACTTAGAGAGGGCTGTAAAGCATTGTAAAGTGGTATATAAGTCTAACTGCTATTAATAAGATATCTTGCTGAGAAAGCAAAAAAAATGTTTGCTTGGAATTAAATATCACGTGATAGAACTAATGGGATAAGTGGGATCTTGCAGTGTTTTCAATTTTGAAGGCTGAGAATGTGGACAGAGTTCTTGAGCCCTGCCATTTGAGGGCTGGCCAAGATGGGGAAATTGATTCAGCAGGTCTTAAAGCCATATAACCAGTTAGCTAAAACCTTGATTTCAGTTGGAAACTATTAGAAGTAGAATAATTTTATTTATTTATTCTAAAAGACTTCGGGGGTTGACTAATGTTTTTGGGGGGACAGTAGTTGATCATGGCTACTGTAATTGAAAAGCAAGCAATTTTCTATTGAGACAAGTATTGTTTGATGGGAAACATAATTCAAGACTTGCAAAGGTGATCACATTTTATAGACAAGCTTATATGAGAGAAAAAGCCTCTCAGCTATATTTAAATGTTTTAATTGTACCCAATTTCCTTTCCCTCCCCAAGGACAGCTTCATTTTAGATATTTGTAGGGATAATCCTGAAACACTTTGACAGCAGACCCTCCAAAAGTTAATAGTGAATAGTAAATGGGGTGGTCAGAAGAAGAAACTAATTAAAAATATGAAAAATAATATGTTTAAATAATAGATGAAATGAAATTAAGTGTACATGCCAGCCCACTTCTTTGTCCTACCTGCTTTTGGATTAAGCCCCTAGGATACAACTCAGGTGTGGTTGGCTCGTGGTCAGAGAAGAGATCTGCATCCATGCTTTATTCTCAATCATTTGCTCTTCAGAGTTTAGGATTTCCCAGTAGAGAATAATTCTCTCTGTACAAGTTTCTTGTCCTGTGTTACACATCATCAAAGGCATGAGAAGGAAACCTCCTTAGATGATCCAACTGGATTCATTCTTTGGTATGTATTTCTTGGACTGTATGCACCAGGGGTGTCAAAGTCAATTTCATTGAGGGCCACATCAGGGTTGTGTTTGACCTTGGGGAGGGGCATGGCCAGGGTGGGTGTGACCAGCTTGACATCACTTGTGTCAGGGGCACCTGTGGTGGCCCAGGATGGGCTGTGGGATCTTCCTGCAGCCCTCTGCCAATGAAAACAGAGCTTGGGAGGGCCACAACAGCCTCCTGCAGCCCTCAACCAGTGAAAACAGAGCTTCAAGGTTGACATTGAGAGGGCCACGCAAAGCCCTCCCGAGCTCCGTTTTCACTGGCAGAGCCACTGTAGGCTGGTCTTTCACTATTTCCAGGGCAACTCAGTGGGCCAGATCTAAGCACCCTGCAGACCAGATCTGGCCCACAGGCCTTGAATTTGACCCCCTGGTATGCACAATCATCAAGTATAAACTTTGAGAAGTAGCTTTGTTGTCATGTGTGATGATACTATATGTCAATTCTAGTATTTGACAGAATTTAAAAGCCCCAATTTGTGAGCTGAACCAGGAAGGGCTAGAATAACTAAAGCCATCATATTTCATTATCTCTATAGATTTTCCAATTCAGCACAGGACAATTATGAATTTCTGTCATTTCAAAAAATATCCTAAGCACCAGCAGTACATAGAATACAATTCTATAAGTACAAATACTAGGCAGCCAAAAGGGACATTAGAAGGAACTTGAAAGTAAGACTAGGGTTTTTTTCCCTTTCTCAAATACTTTCTCTTTTTTTTTTTTCATTGAGGCTAAGGCAACGCAATAGATGGTTTTTGTTTTTGTTTATAACCTTCCATGGAGATGTCTGTTTTAATTAATATTAACTTCCTTTGAGGTAAATATGGTATCAAAAGTCCAGGAAAAGGGTGCAACTGGCTGGTTAAAATCTTGAATGCTCCAAACTACATTTCCTTGTGAGCCCTGGTGGCATTGTTGATACAATAACATTACGTTTTATAACTACCTGTAGCATATAATTTACAGTGGAATTATATGTCCCATGAATTTACAGTTCTTTGTCCAGAATTTTTCCAAAGAAAGGAGTAATCATAAGAAATCCCAGCTCTGTAATTCAGACTTCTCCTCCCTACTATATGTTGTGACTCGTCTTAAAAACCAGGATTTTGCTTCTTCTTTGTTTACCAGTTTCTTGGGATGCTCTATTTATGTTCTGCCGTGTGAATGCTGTAATAAGATGAAGATGTACTGTCATTGTTTAAGTGTCCACTAAATTACAGTTCCCTTCAATGTACTGACTCATTGGAAGTAATTGGAAACAGAGGCTCTCTTCCCTTTGAAAAGTCAACATGAAAAATGACATGAAGGAGGGGGCTTGATAGACAGATAATTGAAAGCCAAATTCATTTGAGACATGACTCTGAAATACTGTAGGCTTCTTTAGAACCAGTTAAGATGAGAGATACCAAGCAGTAGGAGAGCTTTTCCATATGAATACACAGGCAGTGCTCATTAATCTCATGAGGAGGACAAGTAGGGAAAAGACTCAAAAGGTTAATCCATATTCTTTCTACCAAATTGTTTCCTCTATTGCTTAGCTCATCTGGAGTAGAAACCACTGCATGTAGTAATGATAATGACTGGAACTAATTTATATTTTATGAATTCAAAATAAAACTTAATCTCGTGTCCATATGTTGCTATAATTAGCTTTGTATTTACACTACTGAGAGGGAGAATCATTTTTCTGAACCGACTTAAGAACACAGCAGGAAAATGTTACCCCAAGCTTCCTTTTGCCTCTTCTCCCACAGGAATCCCATTTTCCACTGGATGAAGCTGCAATCCTACTTACTTAAGAAACTAATTAATAAGTTTAGCTGCCTTGATCCTGTACAGGAAAGCAGAAAAGTTCTAACCTTAAAGCAATTGTTCTAATAGAGTTTTGCTCATTTCATCTTGAGGATCTCTTAGAACAATTGTTTTAAATAAGGTCTAAAGAACATTAAAGAACATCATCCAGATGCTGTCAAACTACAATTCTCAGCAGCTTTGTTTGGGAAACAGAAATATGGAAGAATGGTAGAGGCTGTATTTTGCAATTTCGGAACCATCCATCCCTGTTTCAACTATTTATCAATTATTTTTAGTTAAAACAAATGAGTTGTTAATTTGGGTTTATTTTATTAAGGTTGCATGACAGACTAAGGCACAGAGTGCCCAGATTCACCCATGGTGCAAAGGCAACATTAAATAAACCAGACTATGCTGCAACCGTATCTTTTCTTTAACATATTATATCAGAAGGGATCTTTATATTTTTATTCTTCCACATATGGACTTCTGTTTTTCCTTCAAATAGAAATTGTTTGCAGTTGTGCCTTCAGGATCTCATTTTTCAGAATGTTCCTGTTAGCATAGATTTTTCTCCAGTGGATTCCACACCATTTCTTCTCATTATTACAATTTGAAACTAATTCCATCATGTTGGTAGGTATTCCACCATGTTGATCCAGGGTAGTAGATTGCTATATTCTTTTTTCTTCATTGTCTGATAAATGAACTTGTCAATAAAAGGTACAAGAATTTGTTGGACCTCTGATTCTTGTCAGAATCAGATTCTCATACAAGACTACTAAAATCTTGCATTGTCACTGTCATAACCCTGTTTGAAAGTTTGCTCATCTGATATAGCAGCATTTCTATTTTTTTAATCTATCCAGGCAGTCTTTAATAAAGACTCTCTTTTATTCTTACCCAAACACTTTCAACAGGATTTTCATGCTCCATTTCATTAACATCTTTGCAGGCATTTGCTTTATGTACAGTGCAATATCCCTTCCCTTTCTATTGAGTCTGTCCTATTTAAGTCAATTGGAGCCTTCCAAGACAATATTACAATTGTGTGTTATCCCACCAAATGCAATGATGCTTATAATATCATATTTGTCCCCCTGTGTTTCTAGCTCTTCCTGTTCGCATGTTCCTTCCTGCTCAGTCTGCTTTCCAGATGCTAATAGATTGATGGATAATATCAATACCCTCTGCCTTTCTTCAGACAGAGGTTTGCCTGTTGTAAAGTGTGCATATCCCATTGATTATTTGTACCTTCTAGTCCCTTAACTTTTGAGAGTTCTACATATTGTACAGAATTAATATTGCTGACCTTCACAGTCAACAGCAGCTTAGTATTTAGTATATAAATATTTTGGAGATGGGATTGATTTAGAGAAATGGCAAAAATTGTGGTCTCAAAATTATAAAATCACAGTGTCAATTGCATATAAAGAAAATTTGTATAAGATGTTTTACAGGTGGCACCCCCGACTAGAATCGCAAGAATGTTTAAGAACAAATCGGATAAATGTTGGAAATGTCATCAGATACCTGGTTCAAAGTACCATATGTGGTGGACATGCTTGGATGCAAAAAGAGATTGGACTAAAATCCACACATGGTTGGAAAAAATGATAAAACAACACATAGACTTTAAACCAGAGATATTTTTATTGGGAATTATACCGGAAATATACAATAAAGAACTGAAATATTTGATTGTAAATGTTTTAACAGCGGCTCGAATTTTATTTGCTAAGAATTGGAAAAATGAAAAAATACCTATGCAGGAGGAAGTTATTAAGAAAATTATGGACTGTGCTGAAATGAGTAAATTGACATTTGAAATTAGAAAACAAGAAGATAAACAATTTTATATGATATGGGATTTGTTTTATCAATGGTTGTATAAAAAGACATGGTAATGTAATAGACTAGGTAATTTTGCAATAGAAGTTTAATAGATTGATATAAAATATCAATAACCATTGGATGAAAGTACAATATAAATTTCAAAATAAAATTTGGAATATCTCGTATAAAATGATGGAATAAATAGTTTAGTCATGGATGATTAATAACTGATAAATATATAAACATATGTTACTTTGACAATGTGAAAATTTATATAAACCGTGAGTAATGACTATGAAAGGATAGCACAAAAGATTTGTAACCAACTGACACACTGTATGTATATAAAATGGAAGATGG